CAGATTTTAAGCAACCCCTAAGTTTCAGACTCACTGTACATTGCCTCTTGTTTCTGTTTTAAAGTACAATTCATGGAACATCTCTATCAAAGCGGATGTCAGTCAGATCTTTTAGATTCCACTCTTCATGTTAAGCCATTCTGACAGCTGGGTTAAAAAAAAGACAATAGGTAGGTAAATTCATGGAGAATAGGTCCCTCAATGGCTATTAGCCAAGATGGTTAGGGATGAACCATAGGTGCCCTTAAACAACTGCCAGAGGCTGGGCCTTGGCAAAGGATGGATTACTTGAAATTGCCTGGACCTGGTATTATCTGCTGTTAAAGACTCTTGCTAAAAGCTAACCAAACCATTGGTCTGACTCAGTGTATATGTTCTTTTCTCACAAATATTTAGTTTCATAATATTTCCGATGCTTAACCTTCAAACTCAACAGTGCCACAGTGCCATTCTTCCCATATTCTCTGTCTATATAAAATTAAAACTAATTTCCATGATTTCAGAATAGAGCTACACTTATTTGAAAAGAGGGTTAAAAGCACATTACAAATATTACTCATTTACTACTATGACAAACCCAATAGCAAACTTAGCCAGTGTTCACTAAATTTTATTTTTTTTAAAACACAATGTAGTGCATGCAACTGCTTCACATTGGGGTTTTTTTGTGCTTTAGGAGAAAGTACTCTGGTATCTGTGTTATTTCAAAATACCCATAGCCTGCAGGAATGTGGTCAATAGAAATATTAGTGATAATACAGGCAGTCCCCGGGTTACGTACAAGATAGGGACTGTAGGTTTGTTCTTAAGTTGAATCTGTATGTAAGTCGGAACTGGCGTCCAGATTCAGCCGCTGCTGAAACTGATCAGTTTCAACAGTGGCTGAATCTGGACGCCAGTTCTGACTTACAATACAGATTCAACTTAAGAACCCCAAGCATCCCCAAGTCAGCTGCTGCTGAAACTGATCAGCAGCTGATTCCAGGAAGCCCGGGGCAGGAGCTTCCTGTAGTCAGCCACTGGTCATTTTCAGCAGCTGCTGACTAGGGGACACCTGGGGCAGAGCAGCTGGGGTGCTGCTGGGTTGGTCCAGTGGCACCCAGAGCGGCGCTACGGGACCAACCGGCAGCGCCCCAGCTGCTGTACCACAGGCGTCCGGAGCAAAGCCGCGGAGCACGGGGGCAGCGGGACAGCCCAGACGCGCTGTGGCTATCCTGCTGCCCTCGGGCTCCGTGGCTTTGCTCTGCTTTGCTCCCCGTCCCCCTGGTCTGCGGACCAGGGGGACGGGGAGCAAAGCGGCGGAACACGCGGGCAGCGGGACAGCCCAGACGCGCTGTGGCTATCCTGCTGCCCTCGGGCTCCGTGGCTTTGCTCTGCTTTGCTCCCCGTCCCCCTGGTCTGCGGACCAGGGGGACGGGGAGCAAAGCGGCGGAACACGCGGGCAGCGGGACAGCCCAGACGCGCTGTGGCTATCCTGCTGCCCTCGGGCTCCGTGGCTTTGCTCTGCTTTGCTCCCCGTCCCCCTGGTCTGCGGACCAGGGGGACGGGGAGCAAAGCGGCGGAACACGCGGGCAGCGGGACAGCCCAGACGCGCTGTGGCTATCCTGCTGCCCTCGGGCTCCGTGGCTTTGCTCTGCTTTGCTCCCCGTCCCCCTGGTCTGCGGACCAGGGGGACGGGGAGCAAAGCGGCGGAACACGCGGGCAGCGGGACAGCCCAGACGCGCTGTGGCTATCCTGCTGCCCTCGGGCTCCGCGGCTTTGCTCTGCTCTGCTCCCCGTCCCCCAGGTCTGGGCTGTCAGCTGGCCGCGCGTTCCGCCGCCGCTTTGCTTCCTCTCCCTGGTCTGCTCGAGACCAGGGAGAGGAAGTGCCCCGTTCGTAACTGCGGATCCGACGTAAGTCGGATCCGCGTAACTCGGGGACTGCCTGTACTCAGAATCAAAGTCCCACTTTAGCAATATAGACAAAGAATGGCAGAACCCAAACTGACAAATACTTGGTTTTCACAAGGTTTTGATCACTTGAGAGAAGTTCAGATGCTCCTAACCAGGTTATCTCTGTTCAGTACCTTATAGTTAAAATAGTCCTTGACAATATGGATTAAGGTAGAATTGTTTCCTGATTTAGCAATCAGTTTAATCATGCGCATGTCAACAGAAATTAGTTTGGGAAAATTTTGGCCTGATGTAATAATACTTAGCATTCTCTGTTACACCTTCAGGCTACACTCACAGCTTCTTGCCTGAGAAATATGCAAATGAGGCTAAGCATGGAATATTGCCGAGCCTCATTTGCATACCTAATGAGCCACCATTTTTGCAGAAGAGTCTCTTGTGCCGGAAGGAGCTGTCTACACTGCCCCTTCTTGCGCAACAAAAACCCTCTTGTACAATGCCGCTACGCTGATAATTTTCAGGAATAATGGCATTGCGCAAGAGGGTTTTTGTTGCACAAGAAGGGGCGGTGTAGACAGCTCCCTCCGGCACAAGAGCCTCTTCTGCAAAAATGGTGGCTCATTAGGTATGCAAATGAGGCTCGGCAATATTCCATGCTTAGCCTCACTTGCATATTTCTTGCGCAAGAAGCCACAAGTGTAGACATAGCCTCAGAGCGTTTTGCAGATAGTGTTAACGTTACTGAGGGCTGCACGGGTGTATAATGGGAATCATTATGGGTGTTGGTGTTTGTCACTTGAAACCTACAGCTGGAGGTCCTGCCCAATGGCAGGCGATAGGAACTTATCACCCTTCCTTGCACCCATGGGCGCAAGTCACCATAACAGGACAGAAAAGACACGGTCCTGCTGCACCCTGCCCACCGCCTTGGTTAACAGAGCTGAATGGACCCAAAGGAGGAACACTGCACTTCCCCGGCATGCCTGGGAATTCCAGGAGCAAGTAAACATGCCCATAGCCACAAGCTTGACTTCGACTCCACTCATGATCCTAGTGTGTTAGCAGCACCAAGTGCCTTAGGGTTACTAGAGTCTCCAAGCCCTGCACACTAAACTTGGCAAGGGCTCCACAGCTGGAGAAATGGAGACCAGGAGATAAGCTGAGCAGCAGGGAGAGCTAACTCCAAGATTTCCCTTCCATGCAGGGATTTCTCAGACTTAGGCTTTCAATTCTGCCAACCAGCATGTGGATAGGACATGATGCTGCATCTTTCCCATACCATTAGGGGTGATGTGCACCGGGCAGGCGGTAAGTCTCTATCATCTGCCCTTGTGCACAGCTTCAACATGGAGCCACAAAAGCAGGGCTGGGTTTTTTTCCTTTTCCCACCCAAGCAGGCAGCAGCTGGAAAATGTGGATCCCTGTGTTCAAAATGCAGTGAAGGTATAACGCAAAGTGCACAGTATTCTTAGAGCAGGGCCTAGGTTTCCCTCCCAGGGACAGTGCCACTCTGCTGCTTCCAGCGCAGAGCTGCACCTGATGGACAGGACTAAATTCTGACTAGTTAGAAATGTGTATGAATGGAACCTTTTCCTGTCCACACAAATAATTTGTATCGCTTTTGTGCCATTGTCCATAGAATAGCCACTAAGGTATGTCTAGACAGCCGTGCTATTTCAGGATATATCCGGTATTCTGAAATAGCATTTTCTGCATCTTAACAGGACGCCCGTTATTTTGAAATGCTATCAAAATAATGGGCATCTTATTCCAATGTCCTGGTAAGCCTTATTGCGTGAGGAATAGGGAAGACACTGGAATAGCGCTCAAAATTTGGCATTGTGTAGACAGCCTATTTCAAAAATTGGCACTATCTAGAAATAAACTATGCAATTTGCATAACTCATTTGAGCTACACAGGACAGTGTAGATGTAAGCAAATAGCATAGCTTATTTTAAGTTAATTTGGCGTGGAATGAGGTTTACAGGGACATGAGAATAGCAAGCCCATCATTTTTCGAAATATGGGCTTGATCAAAAGATGTGGAATAGCTATTTCGAGATACTGGAAGTATCCCAAAATAGCTCCGGCAGGGTAGACATAGTCAAACTGACTATTCCCCAGCTAGAGGATTGTAATTTCGGGAATGATGGTGTTATTCAGAAAATGTTCCCTAAAAATAAAATCGTGTTATTGCGAAAATGTGTTGAGAGCATGTGATAAATGAGTAATTACTGTATAACGGGCTCCCTATTCCAACATCCCTGTAAATCTCATTGCATGAGGGTTAAGGGACGTTTCAGAATAGTGCCTTATTTTGAAATTACATCAAAAAGCAATTGCACAGCTTATTTCAAGATAAAGATGCTCTGTAGACACACACTAAGGCTGTGTCTAGACTGGCCAGTTTTTCCGGAAAATCAGCCGCTTTTCCGGAAAAACTTGCCAGCTGTCTACACTGGCCGCTTGAATTTCCGCAAAAGCACTGACTTCCTACTGTAAGAAATCAGTGCTTCTTGTGGAAATACTATTCTGCTCCCGTTCAGGCAAAAGTCCCTTTTGCGCAAAAGGGCCAGTGTAGACAGCACAGATTTGTTTTCCGCAAAAAAGCCCCGATCGTGATAATAGCGATCGGGGCTTTATTGCGGAAAGGCGCGTCTAGATTGGCACTTTTTGCAGAAAAGCGTCCGTGTCAATCTAGATGTACTTTTCCGCAAAAAAGCCCCGATCGTGATAATAGCGATCGGGGCTTTATTGCGGAAAGGCGCGTCTAGATTGGCACTTTTTGCAGAAAAGCGTCCGTGTCAATCTAGATGTACTTTTCCGCAAAAAAGCCCCGATCGTGATAATAGCGATCGGGGCTTTATTGCGGAAAGGCGCGTCTAGATTGGCACTTTTTGCAGAAAAGCGTCCGTGTCAATCTAGATGTACTTTTCCGCAAAAAAGCCCCGATCGTGATAATAGCGATCGGGGCTTTATTGCGGAAAGGCGCGTCTAGATTGGCACTTTTTGCAGAAAAGCGTCCGTGTCAATCTAGATGTACTTTTCCGCAAAAAAGCCCCGATCGTCATTTTCGCGATCGGGGCTTTTTTGTGGAAAACAAATCTGTGCTGTCTACACTGGCCCTTTTGCGCAAAAGGGACTTTTGCCTGAACGGGAGCAGAATAGTATTTCCGCAAGAAGCACTGATTTCTTACAGTAGGAAGTCAGTGCTTTTGCGGAAATTCAAGTGGCCAGTGTAGACAACTGGCAAGTTTTTCCGGAAAAGTGGCTGATTTTCCAGAAAAACTGGCCAGTCTAGACACAGCCACACTGTAATGCTATTTTGGGATATCAGAGTATCCTGCAGTAGCTATCCCGCGTCTTCACAGCATGCCTGTTATTTTGGTCTCTTTATTCCAATGTCCCTGTAAACCTCATTCTACGAAGAGTAAGGAACGTTTCAGAATTGCGCTTTATTTCAAAATTTTGTGCTGTGTAGACAGTAACAAATGACGCAATAAGCTATTTTGAAATAGCATCAAAATAGGATATGCAATTTGTGTAGCTCAAATTGCATATCTTATTTCAAGTTACCATACAGTGTAGAAGTACCCTAAGTCTACTGAGAGATGGTCTTTGATCATCCGTGGTTTCCTTATGCCCCTTTATTCAATAATGCCAAGCTGAATCGAATTGCAATTCTGTATTTCACGCTCGCTCCACTGTTCCATGGAATCCCTCAGCCTACTTCCCCTAGATTAGAAAGTACAGGACTTCTGCAAGTGTCCTGTGAAATGAAGTCAGTTCTTATTTCGCAGCCTGTTTTGCGGGGTGGTTGTCCGCAGCGCTGTTCGACACACACTTTAGGAAGCTGACTGCTTCTCTCACAGCATTACAATCTTTGCTGAATCGGGGCCCCAGCCAGCAGAAGGGGGAGCTGCTGGCACGGCGGGCGGTACCCAGCCCCACGGAGAAGGCATGCACGGACAGGAGCGCGATGTGAGCCTGGGAGACACAAGCCGCGCCTTTCCCAAGCGGTGTGCGGCGGGTATCGTGGGCGGGGAAAGGCCCGCCCTTCCCAAATTGCCCCACCACACGGCCCGCCCATGCTCCACCGAGCCCCCCGGGCCTCCCCTCTCCCAGCCTGCTGATGAGATTTCAGAGGCTGGGGCAGGCAAGCTGGGGGGCCGATGCGCTCTGAGCTGTGTATTGGCCCCTTGGGGCAGCGCTCACAAGCTCTGGGCGCTAAGACTCCCCAACCCACCGCCCAGCTGAGCTCGGCTCCCCGCCTGCTCGCGGCCCCGCTGTGCTCGCAGCGCCAAGGAAGCGCTTGTGCAGTTGCCAGGTCCCCAGAGCCCGGGCCATTGGCAGGGTCCCGGCCTCCAGCTGGGGAACAGAGCGGGCTTGGGGCTGAGCGACGCTGGGAAGCGAGTGGCCCCCCGGCGCGGGGCGCACCTGGCAGGCCTGGGGCCGCTGGGGCTATGCAGCGTGTGTGACCAGCCGCCGCTCACGGCCCCTCTACATTGGCCACCTAGGCGGGGGCGGTCGAGGAAACGCCGGGGTCACGTCCAGGCAGAGGGAATTGCTCGGCGGAGGCGGCCCCTGGAATAGCTGCCAGCTGGGCAGACGGGACGCAGTGGGCAGACAGGCAGGTGGCTCCTTCCGCCGGGGCTAGGCTGAGCATGAGTCTATTTCCCAGCGAGTTCGTTCACTCCGATACCCCCGCCTCCCGCGGCGTGCGAGCGCCCAGGGGCTGCTGGCAGGGCAGGGCGCGGCGCTCCCCTTGGGGGGCAGCTTGTCCTCTGGCTCCAGCCCCCGGACCCAGGGGTGGGAGGGCCCAGTGGAGGCAGCAGGCCCGGGGCAGGGCTTGCGAGGGGGCAGGGCAGGCGGCTCCTCGCTCAGGCTGGAGCCGGGTGTCTCTGTTTCCCCATAAATAAAGTGGCTGCCCCTATAAATGCTGCGGCCGGGCCGCCTGCCTTACCCAGAGCCGGGGCTTAGGAGCCGGAGCAGGTACTGCCCGCAGCGGCCGCCCTCGATGCAGGGACACTGGGCTCTGTGAGCCGGGATCCCGGGGGCCAGCGGGAAGAGGGGCAGCCTCCCCGCGGCCGCTGATTTCAGGACCCAGCTAGCGCTGGCCTGGGCGCTCGGGGTCAGGCTTGGAGTGACCGGGGAGTGGGCGCTAGCTGGGCTCGGCCTGGGAGCTCCGTGCTGGGGGGCGCAGGAGGCTCGTCGGGCGGGCTCCCTAGCTGGGCAGTGGGCTCGGCACTGGGGGCAGGCTGAGCTCTCTTGGAGTGCACGCTCGCTGAGCGCCGGGCGGGCACAGGCTGGGCGCAAGCTGCGATCGCTGGACACAGGCTGGGCGCAGCCCGGCAGCTGGGTCCCGGGGATGGCTGCAGACGGCGCTCATGGTGCCCCGTTCTCTCTCCCCCGCGCAGGCAGGGCCATGGCAGCAGGCGGCCGGGCGGCCGGGCCCCTGCCGGACCTGGGCCGTTACGTGGTGGCCCGGCCCATCTACAGCGAGCCGGCTTTTCAGGAGGAGAACGAGAAGAAGGTTCAGCTGCAGCCCACCCTGCGCGAGCGAGTCCAGGGAGCTTGCAGGTGAGATGGGAGGGAGGGAGCCACGTGCTGGGCCCTGGGACCACGATCCGGGCACGGAGCCCCGCAGAGGGGAAGGAAGCGCAGGGCTCGGTTGCTCCCGGGTAGTCCCAGTGCCCTGCGCGGGCAGGGGGCAGCGATCCTGGGCCGCCCGCGCGTGAGTGGCGACAGGACTGGCCGCGTAAGCGGCTCCCGGGGACGCTCGGCGCTCCTGGTCCATGTGAGACTCCAGCCTGGCCCCGGCGCATTTCGCGCGGTCTCCCAGTCTCTGGGCAGGGGCTGAGCTTCGTCCAGACCGCGGGGAGTATTGGCAGGTGCTCGGCTCTGCCCCCTTCGCTGCTGCATTGATTCTTCCTGCTCCTTTCGCCGTTGCTGCGCTCGTTTGGCGTCTTGTTTGGCACAGTCCCTGCGAGGAGCACTGAGGTGCTTTCGTCTTAGCAAGCCGCGTTCCGCTCCGTGCAGATCTAGAGCGACTGTCGCAGCGAAAGGCGCCCCGATCCCGCCGCTGGCTGGGTGCAGAATCTGTTCCAAATAGAATGAAGGATAACTTGACCCACTTCTGGCCTTATTACAAGAGAAATGTTGCTCAGCCATTATTCTTTGTTCCTGCAAGCTTTCGTTGCACTTACAACTTGATTGCACTTTATAGTCCGAGGCAGAATGATCCCTTTTTCTTTCAAAACTAGTTGTTTGTATACAGACAAGCGTATCAATGAATTGGACCTAACCGAAGAAGCAACTTTCGACACTATGGCAAAAATTTGTATCGAAAACAAAATTACTTCCAAAAAGACCTATTTTTCTGCCTGTGTAATGAGAACATAGCTTAAAAACAATGTAAACATAGATCATTCTTAGTTCTGACCCATGTGGGAACACCTTTATTCACTGAGTAAGATGCTAGCCAGTCAGAATAAGAGTGACAGACTCTAACCCTTTGAATATAAACCAATATTTTGTTTGGAAAGGTGAATAATTCAAAATTATTTTCAAAGTAGATTTTTTAAAAACATGAATAAAAACTAGGGCTATCAAGTGATTAGAAAAATCAATTGCGATTAATTGTGTGATTAAAAATAATTGAAATAAATCACTCAGTCAATTGCATTATCAAACAATAACAGAATGCCATTTGTGTAAATATTTTGGATATTTTCTACATTTTCAAATATACTGACTTAAATTACATCAGACTATAAATTGTACAGTGCTCACTTTATATTTCTTTTTTATTACAAATATTTGCACTGTAGAAAATAAAATAAACAGTATTTTTAATTCTTCCATTACAAGTACTGTAGTGCAATCACTTTATCATAGTGCAATCGCTTTATCATAAGAGTTGAATTCATGTAGAAGTTTGTATAAATGTAGACGCACGTACATTTTATACATGCTTCTACAAATGTAAATGTATGTACAAAAACAACTGCATTCAAAAATAAAACAATGTAAAACTTTAGAGACTACAAATCCACTTAGTACTATTTTTTGTTTAGCCAGTTGCTTAAAGAAACAAGTTTGTTTACATTTACGGGAGATAATGCTGTCCTCTTTTCATTTATAGTGTCACCTGAAAGTGAGAACGGGTGTTTGCATAACACTTTTGTAGCCAGCATTGCAAGGTATTTACGTGCCTAATATGCTAAACATTCATATGCCCCGTCATGCTTCAACCACCATTTCATTATGCGTTCATGCTGGTGACATGTTCTGCTTGATAATAGTCCAAAGCTGTACAGACGAACATATGTTCATTTTCATCATCTGAATCAGATGACAGTGTCCCTCTAATTTTTTCCATCCATGTGCGGAATGCATGTTGTTATATGCACCAATGCATGTGCTGTTGTGCACCATATAGATAGTTACTCCAGCCAGGGCAGGTTAGGAATTTTAGAACTTGCCACTCAAAGAGAAATAAAAATTATGAAATGCATAGACCAGTCAAAACACTTAAATAACACATTGCAAAGTATACAATTAATGGGGAAAATATGTGTGTATTGCCAGAAAGTACTAAATAGTAACAATAATACAAGTGTTGTTGGGAGGTGAATGTGAAAGAGACAGTATATGTGTGACCCAGAAATTGTGTGCGTGAGAGAGCGAGAGAGACAGTCAGACAGACAGACCAGGCAAAAAGATGGTGTGTTGTGTGAGTAGATGACACTATGCATGTGACACAGAGATAGTATGTATGTGTGACACAGAGATGGTGTGTGTGGGCGCTGTTACTGGGTAAGTTTCTGGGAAACCCCATGAACCATCACTTTAGGACACTAAAAGCTATCCTGCTCTGCTCCTGAGCCCTGTTTTCTCTCTCCTGCCCCACTCTGCAGAGGTGGGGCACATGGTATGGGGATGAAGGGAATGAGTATGTGTTAGCATGTGTATGTGTGAGTGAGAGACACTATGTGAACTGACTACTGAGGAAAGCTCAGGTTAAGCAGTGCATTGCATCTAAGAAAGAGATTCACCCTTCAAAGTAGACCTCTTGAGTACAGCAATATTCTCCTCAAGCCAGGATCTGTCCCTTCTCCCCTGCTCTGAAGAGATAGGGTGCAGGGGCAGGGAGAAGGAGTGTGTGTGTGTGTGTGTGCTTGAGAGAGAGAGAGAGAGAGAGATTGTGTGCTGGCTCCTGGAGAAATCTCAAAAACAGTGCACTGCCTCTTTAAAAAAGGCAGACAGTCATTCACTCTTCCCCCTTCTCTCCGGAGATGGGTCAGAAGAGCAGAAGGGGACACCCTACCTCTCCTCCACTCTGCACTGCTAGCAGGAGGATGTGAACAGCTGGAGGATGGAGCAAGGTGTAGGGAGGGGCATCTGAACACCCGCTGCCAGCTGTGTGCACGCTGTTAATCATCTGTGTGTGTGTGTGTGTGTGTGTGTGTGTGTGTGTGTATTGCTCCTGTGCAGCCATACATGTGCGCAGCTTTCAGGGAACATAGGATTCCACAAGTAGAAGGTTGATATTCTTTTCTAGTGGTTTGGGTTCTGTAGCTTCTGCATTAGAATGTTGCTCTTTTAAGACTTAGGAAAAATGCCCTACAACTCCTCCTTCTAAGATTTTGGGAGGCATGTCAGGCTCTTAAACATTGGGTTAATGCTGTAGCTATCTTCAGAAATCTCACTTTGGTACCTTTGTGTTTTGTCAAATCTGCAGTGAAAGATTTCTTGTGTGCTGGGTCATCATCCAATATAGCTGTTACATGAAATATTATGCAGAACGCAGGGAAAACAGAGCAGGGGACATACAATTCTCCCCATAGGAATCACAAATTTAATTAACACATTTTTTAAAATTAGCATCACCAGCATTGAAGTATGGTGTTCTGGAATAGTGGCTGAAGCATGAAGGAACATATGGATGTTTAGCAAATCAGGCACATAGATACTTTGCAATGCTGGCTACAGACATGCCATATGAATGCCTGTTTTCACTTTCAGGTAACACTGTAAATAAAAAGCATTGTGTCCCATAAATGTAAACAAACTTCTTTCTCTAAGTAATTGGCTGAACAAGAAGTAATACTGAGTGGACTTATGGGCTCTCAAGTTTTACATTGTTTTGTTTTTGAGTGCACACACGTAAACAAAAAAATCTATATTTGTAAGTTGCACATTTGCAATAAAGAGACTGTACTATAGTACTTGTAGTAGGTGAATTTAAAAATACTATTTATTTTGTTTATCATTTTTTATAGTACAGGCAGTCCCCGGGTTACGTACAAGATAGGGACTGTAGGTTTGTTCTTAAGTTGAATCCGTATGTAAGTCGGAACTGGCGTCCAGATTCAGCCGCTGCAGAAACTGATCAGTTTCAACAGCGGCTGAATCTGGACACCAGTTCCGACTTACATACAGATGCAACTTAAGAACCCCAGGCGTCCCCAAGTCAGCTGCTGCTGAAACTGATCAGCAGCTGATTCCAGGAAGCCCGGGGCAGAGCAACTCTGCCTCGGGCTTC